TAAATTAATACGTATTTCATTAATTCATCTTAAAATTTATATTTTAAAACACATTATTTTTACGTTACTTGTTCACTTATTCATAAACTGTATCATTTTGACACCAAGTAACGTTGAATATCAATTTAACACAAAATCCTTAACATAATCTGCACATTATATTACATTACATTCAAATATATTACAAAATGCAATACAAACAAAAACAGGAAATGGATCGTTTCCAACACAAATATAAATGTTTTTTTTTATATCAGGATGTTCCTCGTACTGATGAAGTGAACTGTAATCTCGCACGGTTTCGCGTAAAGGAACACGGTAGTGTCACTGCACTTATTGGTTTAGATTGTGTTCCAAAATTTACTGCCGAAAGTCTATAATTTACGTCACATGCACTATAGATTTTCAGTACTGACAGTAAATTTTGGACCACAGCCTTAGCCGTAATAGGCAAAGCCATAGTAGTTTCTTTATGAGAAACGTTGATATTTTAATAAATTGGTTTGAATACGGCGACAATCTCTCAGATAATAACATTTTTGTTGCATAAAATATATATTTAAAAGATTTTTTTTTAATGTCGTATGTTTAAAAGATGTCTAAAAGACGTTTTTTAAATATCTTGTGCAATATGCATGTTATTTGGGCTGGATATAAATATTTAAAAAATTGAATCATACGCAATAAAACTAAAAAAATATATTTGCAAACATTGCATGTATTGATTTCCTTTGATTAAAAATAATAGAAAAGATAAATTTTGTTTTTTACCTGATTGTAGTAGCTGTCTATGTCCCTCTGCAACATGGATTGTAGAACAATTGGGTTATAATGAAGCAAAACATAGTAAAAACTAATAATATAGTCTAGTGCATATGATCAATGTTTCTTTTTTTTTTTTTGCATTTTTACGCATTTAATAAAATTCTTGCATTTAAAAGTCAAATCTTAAAGAGTTAAATCTTGAAGAGATATATAAATACATTTCTATATAAAAGCTTTTTTTTGCAAAAAGTATGGTTTTATTTAAAAAACAAAATGAAAAAGTACCTCAATCAAAATATTGTCCATCCATTAGCGATGACTTTTTCCCATCTTTCGGGCAGTAAGCGAATTCCGTGGAGAAAGAATGACTAATCTTTGGAGGCTATCCACTCAGACACTTATTTTTCGACGTCTTCATAAAATTGAAGTATTCCTCTGCAAGTGCGTGTGCCATCGATCGAAAAGTGAAAGAGTTGGAAGGAGCACAGTTTTGTGAATAAGCCGCATGGGATAGCACTTTCCACCAAAGTGCTTCCTTGACAAGTTTCGTAACGTGAGGCCGAGCGTTGTCAGAAAAATTTATGCTGTCTCGTTTTATATTCTGGTCGTTTTCCGTGCAATGCTCGGCTCAAACGCATAATTTGTTCTCGGTAGAGATTCCCTGTGACTGTTTGATCAGATTTCAACAGCTCGTGGTACACTACACCCTTCTGATCCCACCAAATACAGAGCATTACCTTCTTTTCGTAGATAATCCGCTTTGGCGTCGATGTCGATGGTTGACCTAGATCATAAATGGTTTTTCGTTTGGAGTTATTGAAATAGATCCACTTTTCATCGCCAGTCACAATTCGGTGTAAAAACCCCTTTCTTTGTTGCCTAGCAAGCAGAATTTCGTAGATGGTTTTTCGTCTTTCAATATCTCTTGGCGTCAGTTCATATGGGACCCATTTTCCTTCCTTGTAGACCTTTTTCAAGGCTTTCAAACGATCGGAAATAACAGATTGAGCACAATTTAATGCTTCTGCAAGTTGTTTTTGCGTTTGACATGGGTCTTCATCCACCAATGCCTGCAATTCTTCGTCTTCAATTTTTCTGCTCTTGGCCGTCCAGAACGCTCTTTGTTCTTCATATCAAAATCACCACTTTTAAAGCGTCGAAACCATTCTCTGCATGATTTATCGGAAGGAGCACTATCACCTTCTATAATATAAACTTCTACAAGTATTCGATGAGCTTCAGCTGCAGTTTTCTTCCGTTTGAAGCAAAAGATTAACACTTCGCGCAAATGATATTATTTGGCTCAAATATCGACATTTTCGATGCAGTAAAAAGTAATGTTGTTGATGCAAAACGTATACTTTTTTATACTGAATTTTATTGACAGATGGTAAAACTAAAAAATTAAGCTTGGTTTAGACATTGGTTTAGAATTATCGACAGTCCAGTTAGAGTTACTCGTCCTTAGATGGACGGAACTTTCCAATTGATAATAACAATAAAATTTAAAAGATGGAACAACCGGTTAACCGATGGAACAACTCCTAGTCAAGTATTTTATTTTCTTTACTTATTTTTTTGCTTCAAACAAATTTGTTATTTTAGTAATAGGAGAAGAGAAGGAAATCAGCACAACGTAAATACGTCATTATTATGTAAATTTTTATTTTTTACAGTAAACGTACAGAAGTCTTAAAATAGAATTATACAGATTAATAACTTACGTTACGAGGTATTTTATGTTTTATTCTAGCACATTTTGATATAAAATATAAAATTTTTCGTAAATTTTCATTTTTTGGTAACTATATCTTAATACTTTTATGCATAAGTAATGAAGTTAATCAATTGACGTAAATAAAGCATATATTTGGGAAAGAAAAATATATGCTTTGTTTAGATTATAAAAGTCTAAATATCTTACATATATAAAATATTCCATAAAACATATTTTAATACATTTAATATTAATATCGCTATCAAAGAAAAACTTGTAACATAATAGTAGTTTTTTTCTTTATAAATTTTTTAAAATAAATTTTTGAAGATTTGACGAAATATAACTATAAGATTTTTTTATATACTTATTATTATTATCCTGGTTCGAGGCCAGTATCAATGAAATCTTTTATAGCAATTTGTGCATTTTCGGGTAAAATCCTGAAAACAAAATTATAATGTTTTATTTATCTATATTTTCATTATATACTAGTGTAGAATATTAAAAATTAAAAAATGCGATGTTATGTATTTTAATTTATTTTTTTGATGCATTTTTATATTATACAAAGTTTTACCATATTATACTTAATAAATAAATATTTATTTACATTTAAAATATTTGATATCACAATTTAAGATACGTGTGTGTAAGCATATAAATATTATATAATATATTATGCAAACACTATGATATATTAAATATTGCAAAATACCAACTGTAAATCAGATTATTAGTACATAATTATATGTATGTAAATATTGCAATTACCTAATAAGTTTTATGAGTGGAAACCAAAATGATGGTATAGATCTTATTTTTATATTTTGTCGTTGAGCTTTAATTATTTGTGCAGCTGCATCTTTCGGTGAGCTTAGTTGTAAAAATATTTCCAACCTACAATTAGATAGAAATGCTTATTATCAATCTTAATACCCCAGCTTGTCATATTTGCATACGTGATTACATTTATCTGTTTAAATTAATTGTATTAATTTTTTCTATAAAACGTACATTTTATTAATTTTTGGCTTTTTGCAAAGTCCTGTATCTACCATATAAGGACAGATAGTAGTGAATTTGATTAAAGATTTTCCCTTATTAGATATATGTAATTCGTCCTCAAGCGCTTCCATCATACCTGAAAATAGAATCTTATACGCAAGCTGGAAGCACTTGAATATTGTTGTTAAGCTTGTTAAGGAATTATATATGATGAAAGGAATTGTTTTATTCAAGATCACAGATTAAAAATACAAGTGCATTCATATCATAATAGAACAGTGAGCAAAAGCAAAAAACATAGGTAAGGAGAATAGATGGTCTCATGAGTATAGCAATTTATTATGGCTGGTTTTCATTAATTGTGACCTTTCAAAAATGTAATAAAGAGAACAAAAGAAACAAACAAAAAGATAACTTATTCAAATGTATGTGAATGAAATAATTTATCTAATTACTTCAACAAATATTTGTGAAGTTAAATAATTTATTTTTCGTAAGTTCTGAACGTAATATAGAAAAAGAATAGATATTATAAAAGCTTGTATCCTTCATGTCAGAAATTGATTCGAGATCTCGACTGAAGAATGAATTGATTAATTGCATTGACATTGTGACCGAATTGTTTCAACATTAATTCTTTTTCTGTCCAAAATCGCGGAGTAATTTTTAGCATTGTGATCATAATTTAAGATTTCAGAAAAAATCAGATTTACCTAGAACTGCATGTTTTGTAGCGGAATAAGGAACTAAATTGGGAAATCCTACAATGCCTGCTATCGATGACAACGCAACAATGTGACCATAATTTCTTTTCATCATACTTGGCAAGTATGCTTGCAACATCTGAAAAAATTGCATAGTAGTTTAAATGTGATATCATGTGCGTTACATTTTACATATTTTAGCATTAATAATAAAGCTAATTTTTGTGACAACAAAAAATGTATACTCTATGATTATTGAAAATTCTTATATAATTATTTTGAAGAAATATAAAATAAAAAAAAAAGCATTATTTATTTATTCAAGAGCAAAGGTAATTTAATATATATATTTATTCAAGAACAAAGGTAATTTATTATATATATGCAGTTATATAATAATTTATTATATATAAGCAATTTCAACTTGCCCAAAAGTGTCCTAACACATTAATATTGAACATTTGTATGATTTCATCAACCATATGATCTGAAAAAGCATGGCATGGCATTATGCCGGCATTGTTAACTAAAATTGTGACATCACCGACTTCTTCCTTTACTCTTTTGGCTACTGCAAAAACATCTTCTCTTTTAGTCACGTTACATCTAAAAACAAAACTTTAATTAGTATTGATTATTCAATATTGTAAATATATTATGACACTTCTCTTATGCGCGTGCCGATATTAGTAAAATAATTAATTAATTATATTGACTTGAAATATTTAGAAAGAGACGTGGAATAAAATTGGAGATGTGATCCTTTTGTTGTTTAATAGAAATGTTTTGTTAATAATACAGAAACATACTCATATGCATATGCATCTTTGCCAATTTCTTTAATCTCCTTTGCTGTTTGCTCATTAGCTTGCTTGTTTATGTCTAAGCATACGACTTTCGCACCTAAGCACGCGTATTGAATCGCCAACTCCTTTCCTATACCATGACCTGCACCTGTTATCTTGTAGATGTATATAAAAAAAAACAAATATAATATAAAAATATAATTATTATGAAACAAACTTATTTACTCAATACAAATTGTTTACACTGTATACAAATTGTTTTACTATTTGATATCGCTTCTTTACTTTAGAAATGACAACTAAAAAATATAACTTTTGAATTATTACTATAAATATGTTAAGTAAACATTATCCTATCAATTATAAAAAATAAACTTAACTTTATACAATAAAATTTTATCAAAGTTTCCACAGCTTAAAAAGAGTTTTAAGGACTGTGACAAAAATAATACTTGATCATTCTAACAATAATATCCTTTTTTCGATATTATTTGACTCAATAATTTTCTCATCAAGTTGAAAAGTAGTTTTTTCTCTTTTATAGGAAACTTAATTTTTCGAATTATATCATTTTTGAAATAAGAAAATTATATCATAAGAAATTAATCTTTAATATTACATTATATCTATTTTAATATTATCTTAACGTATATTAAATATATATTTATTTTAATTAATATATTTACTAATTAATAAGAAAAAAATTTTTATTATCTCTTATTGTTTCATATGTACATTGTATATAAAGTTAAGATAAATTAAATACATAAACATATATATTAATATATTATTATTAAAACGTATTTGTTTAATTTCTTCGTCAATTTTCAATTTTTTCAAATTGATACTTTAATAGCTTTTAAAATTAAATATCTACTTTTGCAATAAACGTTATATTTTTTGTACGTACCAAAACAATCTCACCATTCACATTCTTTTCTTCTAATCCGAAGAAGTTGTAGTACACGCTCTGGCAGATGTAGTAAAGAACTTGCAATGTAACTCGCAATATATTTAACAAAATTTGTATGATATTAAATGCATTCATGATGAACTGAAAAAATTAATTATTTTCTTATATGAATATATCAAATATTAACAATATACACATAATAAATAAACTGAATATTTTATTAATATATTGTGTTAATGCATGTCAGTTTTCAAATATTATTTTTAATATATGTTAATGCACATTTATTTTATATTTTATTATATAAATTTATGTTTTGAAGCTGCAGATAGAATTTTTTTCCATATAGTTGAAAGAATTTTTAGAAAATATTAACACTTTGTCGGCCGGACTCACATGTGTATGAATTCACTGAGCCAGCAGTTATCGGCCGACTTGACGTATACGTGAGTTCATTTAGTCAGCGCTTAAGGTGCTTCTACATAATTGGCAAATCGTAAAACATAATTTGCAAACGCAAACGCAGATTTGTGTTTGTTTTTTCATTGCATGCAGTCGGTTTTCGTCAGTGTGTCTTGCGTGCGGTGATCGTAATTCTGCGTTTTGCGATTTGCGAATTGTGTAGAAGCCCCTTTATCGGCCGAATCACGTGTACATAAGTTGATTTAGGTCTGTTCTATAATAGAGTCATAAGCGATAAGCCGTAAGAACTGTAATTGGCCAATTTCTTACGGCTTACGGACTTATATTACGTAACAGATCTTAGTTAGCGATTATTAGCTGGCATTGATTGTTGCAAAAAGTATAAGTGATATATGTACTATAGTTAATATA